CAGGGGGCTTCCAGAAGGTTCGCCCTTGGTTCTCAACGGCAAACTATATCACATGGAACTTTAGGTGAATATACTGACTTATCGGGTAAGCAAAATGTAGATTCAACAGAATATACATGGCAGAATACACACATGGAAAATATAGTAAACACGGATGGTAAAGTCTATCATATGGGGACCAATATCAAAAAGAAATTGATATTGTAGTTGTTTATATATATATTTATATTTTTGTTTTGTTTTCTTCTATCTTCTTGCTTTCGCACGTTGTTCCCTTTCTAAGATTGCAGATTTCAATATTCCTCCAGTACTACAAAACAGAATGAAGGAAGAAGGACGAAAAACAATAACTTAAACAGGAGGAAGACTAAACAAAGCTCATATTATGTCAGTGTAACTATGATGTATCGAGCTGGCTCTAGAATAATGACTTTTTCTACTCTTCGCGCTGTTAGAACTTGACATATCACCAGACGGACTGAGAAACAGGTCATCTTCTCCACAGGTCATCACACAAGACCATTTTGGAATACGAGGATTCAGGGAAATGACTTACGACTTGAACGAAAAGACATGAACAGATATAAAATGAAAATGAAACGTATAGTGTTTGTAAGCGAAAACTTGTGTGAAGAACTCATGATATTTTGCTCAGTCATGTTGAAGATACTTTGTTTGTTTGTTCTTAAAGTCCTTTTCCTGATCCGTCAAATTTTGGCATATAACCTCATGCGAGAATTCTGGCTGATGTTCGCAACGAGTGCACAGGAAAATGAGAGACGAGTCGTTTTTGAGCTTAAACCACAAATAAATTTTGGATTCTACAGGCATACAAGAGGAGAGATGTGTAATTCGTCAAAATAAGATATGGGTATTATATATATATATATATATATATATATATATATATATATATATATAATATATATATATATATATATATAGATATATATATATATATATATAATTATATATATATATATATATATATATATATATATATATATATATATATATAACTATTAGAACCAAAGTGACTTCTACATCAAGAGAATGTTTGAACATTACGATAACGTGGAATGACTACTCATTTATATGTATTATATATATATATTTATACTGTACTAACAGAGCATTCTCATCTAAAATCCAAAAATAAAACAGGATTTTTCTTCCTTTTTTTTTGATTTTTTACTGATTTTTTGTTATACCTCTATACTAAAAACTGATCTCCATTCTATTTCTGAGAGTCTGCGTATTTCTCAGAGGTTGACACAGGATATAGAAAACGGAAAGGTTTACACAGGATATAGAAAACGGAAAAGGCTGACACAGGATTTAGAAAACGGGAAGGTTGACACAGGACACAGAAAACGGAAGCATCGGGAGACGAGGGCCTTCGGGGTCCCTGCTAGCGAAGGCCCCACTGGAGTAGGGCTGGGGACTATTTCAGTGGGGCCTACCACGCGCTAGGCTTGATTGGGACCAATCCCTCGGAGAAAAAGAGGAAGAAGATAAAGAAGAGAAGAAGAAATCAAATCAAATCAACCATCTATAATGCCTGCTGAGTCACCCTGATCGTTAGTGAGATTTCACTTATTTTCGGAGATTTTAATCTTAGTCCTCTATGTTATCATCATATCTATATATTCTTTTTCAAACTTATAATTCATCTTCCAGTATCCAATTTTTAAAATCAATACAGTACATATCTTTTTCTTTTTCTTTTCTTTTGTTGTTCGTCAGGGAGTTGAATATAACAGATCATAATATATATTTTTTTGTCTTCCTTCTCTCTCTCTCTCTCAAAAAAATATGATTCTTCAAGCAAGTAATCTTGGTGTGTTCCTAAATCTTCTTGTCCTGATGCGCTTTCTTGACAATGGCGAGTTTCGAGTGAGGATCCTTGACGGGCAGGTGGGCGTAGGGCTCCTCGCGTGTCCCGTGGAGCATCAGGGTCCATTCCTTGATCCAGCCCTCCTCGGCCGTCTCGCTGTTCAGACGCGCCTGCGGGGAGAAGGTAGGAGGGGGGGTAGGGGAGAGGGGGAGGTACGGGGTGGAAGGGGGTAGGGGGAGAGGGGGGAGGCGCGGGGGTGGAAGGGAGGGAGGGAGGAAGGTGGAAGGGAGAGGGTGGATGGGGCAGGTGGGGAGGAAGGTGGAGGAGAGGGTAGGGGAGAGGGGGGTGGAAGGGGAGGGCAGGGGGAGAGGAGGGAGGCGCGGGGGAGAAGGGGAGGGCAGAGGAGGAAGGTAGGAGGAGAGGGTAGGGGAGAGGGGAGGCGCGGGGTGAAAGGGGAAGGGTAGGGGAGGAAGGTGAGGGAGAGGGTGGGTGAGGGCAGGGGAGAGGGGGAAGGCCGGGGAGGAAGGTGGAAGGGGAGGGCAGGGGAGAGGGGATAAACGGGTTGAGGAAGGGGAAGGGAGGGGATGGGCAGGTGGTCGGAGGAAGGGGCAGGCGGAGGGAGAGGAGGAGAGGGGGAGAAAGGAAGGTGGTTAGTAGTCTTCT